TACAGTGTACACCCGAACTAATTTTTTTGAGTCTAGCTGGAAATCAATTTTCTTAGTAAAATACTAATAAATTTGGTCGCTGTTTGGCTCCTATAGAAATTTTTAATTCTTCGATTTTGAAGTAATTTTAAACTAAATTGAAGTGATTAAGATATATATAATAAACTTATAATAAATTAGATTAGAGTATATAGGCTGTCATTTGGTTCGGTTCGGACCGAACCAAAACCGATCTGAAACCCGAATGGTCCAGTTCTGGTCCTATATACAGTGAACCAATATGGTTCAGTTCACCAAGTCCAGGACCATATGGTTTTTTGGGGCCCATTTGGGTCTAGTTCGATTTAGATTTTTAGTTCAGTTTTATCTGAATATCTGAATACTAATAGATTTCCATTAATAATACTAAAATATTTAGAGTTAATTCTAATTCTTTATAATTATTATTGATTATATAATCATTTCTAAAATAGTTTTTTATAAATTAAATTCTTACTTTTTGAATTAGGACTTTATTTTAGATATTTTTATAAACATTATAATGAATTCTTAATATTTAGATTATAATTTAAGAATTATCTAGATAGTAATAATATCTTTTCTATTTTTTGGATTATATTATATAATTAATCTATCTATTAAAAAATATATATATATATTTCTATATCTATTTTATAATATTTATTATTACTTATTCATTTTTTAAACATATTTCAATAATTAGATAGAAAATTCTAATTTAAATAATTAATTCTAATTTTTATATTATTTATTTATTAAATTTATTAAAATTTAGAAAGATTTTAATATATTTTTATAGATAAAATCTAACTATAATTAAAAATTCTTTAATATAATTTGATTATCTAAATAAAAATTGAATTAAATTTAAACTAATCTAATTATAATTAGTAATTCTTTTTAGTATGATTTGATTTTAGTTTAAAAAGCTAGAATTGTTTAATTTTCAGTTCTGATTCTAATATTAAAGATTAAACTGAACTGACCCACTTTTGGGTTTGGTCTAGAAACTGAGGACCAGAACCGAACCAAAACCGATCTGAAACCCAAATGGTCCGGTTCTGGTCCTATATACAGCGAACCGAAGCGGTTTGATTCATCAAGTCCAGAACCATATGGTTTTTTGAGGCCCATTTAGATCTGATTCAATTTAGATTTTTAGTTCGGTTTTATCTGAATATCTGAATACTAGTGGATTTCTATTAATAATATTAATATATTTAGGGTTAATCCTAATCCTTTATAATGTATTCCACAAGCGCTCTGCGCATATAAGCACCCTGTGCATTCCACCATTTCATACAATTTGAAGCATTTCAGATTTCTATTTAATACCAAAAAATCGCTTATATTTCTATATAGAATTATTTCTATATAATGTACAATTATACTCTATTTGCTTGTAATTTGTATACTTAGATAATGCACACTTATAAGGCTGAGAAGCCTTAGCTTAATTAATCACTTTATTAGATAAATTGGCTTCTAGAAGTGCTACAGCAAGCTTCTAGTTTTTAATAATTATTAAAATATTCTCATTATAAAGTAGTTTTAATCAATATTTTTTTTCTTAATTTTATATTTATTTACAGCTTATAGATTATGATTTTTTTTTATTAAAATTATTATAGAGTGTATTACTAATAAATATCCTTTTATTAATTGATTAAAAATCTAATTTATAGATAAAAAAGAGCTTATAATATATAATTTTAAAAATTATTTTATTAATTTAATTTAACATTATAAATTTTAAATATTATAAGATATTGTAAGCAAAGTATTATTTATTAATAAAATATCTAGCCTTATAATCTTTAAAGTAGAGATTTTAATAATAATTTTTAATTAAAATAGAATAGATTTAGAGTTAAATAGTAAAATATTTATATAAAAGAAGTTATTTATAATATTTTCTATAAAATAGATCTCTATACATATTATTAATAACATAATAAAAAATCATATTTATTAATATAATTAATATTATAGTACATCTAATTCTTAATAATATATTCAAAACAGCATTTAAAAACAGTAAAAATATCTATATTAAATAATTATAATAGATATAAAGAATATAGAAATATACATATAAAGACAATATTATTATTATAATAATATTGATTTTATTTAAATATTAAATAGTTATTACAATTATCTAATATCAATAATTAATATCTTTTAACTATATAAGACTTTATTAATTTATTAAATATATTTTAAAGTTAAAGTAAGCTAATTTCATTTAATATTTAGTTATTTAATGATTATATTATTAATTAATTTAATAATAAACTTAGATATATATATTAATTAGCCTATTTGATGCTAGATTTAAATATAATTAATAAAGATAAAATAAAGCTTTAAATATTTATATACTCTATTATAGTAACCTATTTATAATTTTAGATTAAATAAAGCTTAATTTATTTAATCAATTATAACTATATATAACTTTTGCTATAATAATAATCTCTAAAGTAAATCTAATCTTATTAAAGTTATAAATATCTTTATTTATAATATTATATTCGCTTTAAATATACTATAAATTAATAAAATATTTATTTATAAGCTTTAGATCTTTATATTTAGTATAGAAATATATTAATTAATATATGAATTATATTTTAAGATTAGATTAATGTTTTAAAAATCGTTTATCTAATTTATATTAATAGTAATTAATATAGTTATATTTTCTTATTTTAAAAATAAAATATTAGTTATAACTTGAAGCATTTAAAATCAAATAGAATATCCATATAATTCTATTAAAAATATTCATATATAAAGTGATTTCTTCTTAATAAAGATTAATTTTTAATATTTTAAGTCTATTACTGAGATCTCAATATAATCATTGAGATGATTATAGAGCGTTAACTCTATCACTTTATAAAGATACGCTGTTTTGTGAATACTCATGATTTTTTAATTTTTTAACGTGTCTATAATAAGTATAAGTCTTCTTTTATATTTAGGGCCCTTTTTTATATATGTTTTAAGCATTTTGGGATGTAAATGATGTTTTGAAGCGAGTGATAAATTAAGAAAGTTAAGAAATTTGGTAGAGTGCGCAGGGTGCTTGTGGAATATGTTAATTATTATTGATTATATAATCATTTCCGAAGCAGCTTTTCTTCATGAACTGAATTCATATTTTTTGAATTAGGACTTTGTTTTGGATATTTTTATAAATATTATAATAAATTCTTAATATTTAGATCATTATCTAAGAATTATCCGGATAGCGATGATACCTTTTCTATTTTTTATTTATATTTTTTAGATTATATTGTACGGCCAACGGTCAATCTATCTATTAAAAAAAATATATATATATATTTCTATACCCATTCTATAGTATTCACTATTATCTATTTATTTTTTCAGTATATTTTAACAATTAGATAGAAAATTATAATTTAAATAATTAATTTTAATTTTAATATTATTTATCTATCTAATTCACTAAAATTTAGAAAGATTTTAATATATTTTTAAGAATAAAATCTAACTATAGTTAAAAATTCTTTAATATGGTTCGGTTATCTGAATGAAAACTGGATCAGACTTGGACTAATTTAATTATAATTAGTAATTCTTCTTTAGCATGGTTTAGTTTTGATTTAGAGAGTTAGAATTATTTAATTTTTGGTTCTGGTTTCAATATTAGGGACCAAACCGAACCGACCTACTTTTGGGTTTGGTTCAGAAATTTAGGACCAGAACCGAACCAAATGACAGCCTACTGATTAATATTACCAGTTTTTTATTCTTATCAGCAGTCTTTTACAAAGTATCCTTTTCTTCTATATTCATAATAAGTCTTTTTCTTACATCTCTAATCTCATTTTTCTTTACTAATAATAGCATTTATTTACATCTTAATATCTCTATCTCAATCATATTATAGTTATCTTAGCTAGTAACTATATAATTATTTATAATTTATTATATTTTAAAATTATAATGATTTGCTTGAATTATATAACTAATTATTATATAAATCTAGTTTATTTTATTTATCATAATTATTATTCTATAATTTATATCTTATCATAGTCTTTAAATACTAGATTAAGTTATTTCTTAAAGTTAATATAGTTTTAAAAGGTTTTCTTTATAATTATATCTTAACCTCCTAGTTTTTATTATAATAATCATTAAGAATTAATTATATTTACTGTAATATTTTATTATAAAGATAATTTTATTAATATTATTTTAAATTTTATTGATTTTTATCTATATATCTATATATATAAAGAAATCCTTAATCTCTAATCAAATGCTATTTTAGATTATAGATATTAATATCTTTAATATCTTTAACTTAGCACTTATAAAGAGTTAAGTCTCTAGTTAATTAATATATTCTTATATAGCTATTATAACTTTATAAACACTTAATGCTAATTCATTTACTAATAATTCAGCTATTATTAATATTAAACATTATTATTTATCTAGTAACTTCTAAATCTTCATTATAAAAATATTTTTATTAAAATATAATCAACAATTCATCTGAGATTGATAATTATTTAGAATATTCTACTAATAAAATAAGAAAGGCTATAAGCAATATCAATATAAAACTATTTTATTATATAGAAGCTATACTTTTATATACTGAAATCCTACTTTACTGAATCATATATTAAGATATATACTGAAATTAAGCATTATTTTACAGTATTAACTATTATTGTACTAATAGTTGTAGCTCAATATTATTCTATAAAAAGTCCTTAGTGCTTATTTCCCGCATATATCCATTCTGCATATGGTGTCTATATATATTCAATGAGCGTTTATATAATAGCGTCTGCTATTTCATTCATTGGCTGTTAGTTATCGATTCTTGTGACAATATAGTGAATGCGTTCTTAAAACATACAAGATACAAAGCAGTTCTCAGCTTTCTCTTATATAAGATACGGCTAATTATATTTATTCTTGCTATCAAAATACATATACCCAAAAGTTTCTACTAAATAGTAAACTAGATGATGATACCTTCCAGATGTCTTCTAGTAGAGTTCTTACCAGAAAATTCACTACTTGGCAAAGATAACCTGATGAATCGACTCAAGTGACCATATTTTCTGAACGGCGCTTCGCTGCAACTTCCATACCCTGTCTACAGTGTTGTTGAATTCTCTGCCATGACTTCCCGATATTCACTCCTAGATATCAAACAGCAGGGAATTGTAAGATTTGGATTAAATGATATCATCGTCATCTGACTCCTCTTTGCTAACCGAGATGAAGCTCTCAGTTGATGTAAGCCAAAGCCAGACCGGTGAGAGCTGCCTTGCCACTGTAGATGACGGTCTTGTTATGTCCGTCAAGATCGGACCGGTACAACGACCCGCCCATATCAACGAAATAGATGTGCTTGTTCACTTTGTCTAAGCGGATGCCAATAGCCTATTCATGGTACGTCGGTTAATTTACGCATCCATACATACCGTTCTCTCAAATTTGATGGATACATACCTCATGTAAGTGCCGGGTCAAAATGTCGAATTTACCAACCGCTTTGCTGTCACTTCCGACATAGCCACGATTGACCGAGTTGCCGACGGGATGTTCGCCACGGTCCGTCCAGTAAAGAAGTTCAGTCTCAGGGTCAATTTCCAGATCGATGGGTTCAGGCAGGTTTTGAAAGAGCAGCTCGATGTCCGAGCGAGTGGAGGGTGTTGCGCCGGCGGGTGCCTCGATATTGGCACGGAAGATACGTCCTTGACCGGCTTTGCTGGCACCCTTCTGAGTCCAGTAGAATCGACCATGCTTCGGGTCGACGGCAATTCCGACACACTAGCATTTGCAAGTTAACATGTTTATTCTAATGGAAAGGAACTTGGGGACTTGCATGTTTGGTCTGATCGTCCTTATCGGTAGGTTTATCAAAGTCGCCAGTCTTAACCAGGATCTCATGCTGACTTCCATCGAAGTTGGTCCGGTGTACTCGCATACCCTCCCGGTCAGAGAAGTAGATCTTCTTGTTTATATGATCTATACATAGCTGCTTGGGGGTGTGCACAGCACCCAGAGGGACTATGGTCCTAAGGTCTGAGCCATCAAGATTAGCCGACTGGATGGATCCGTTATTTTCAGATGGAACGCCCATGTTCGTCCAGAATATGCGACCTTGAGGTACACTGATATCAATGCCATCCGGAAAGTGAAGGCCATCCACGAGCTTTCTCACGTTCTCTCCATTTCCGGATGCGGTGTAGATCGTTCCAGACGAGAGGAAGTTGCTGGTCACATTCTCACCCACCCCAATATCCAGGACATATAGGGTCGGAGCAGCCAGGTTGTCAAGCTGGCTAGGATTGTCGGTCGAGGGTTTGGTGGTGTAGCCCGCTGGATAAAGACCGCCTTTTCCAGACTTGGCCCCCAGAAGTCCTTTATTAACGTAGTTTTCTCGCAGCCAATCAACTGTGTTTTTTCCGTCTAAGTGACGCTCCTTAATATAATTGTCCTCAATGAAGGCAACGGTATCTAGACCAACGGCATCCATTGCAGCACAGGGCCCTGCTCTAGCGCCAAACAGCTCGACCTATTCACATGTATAATTCAGCGGAAGTCCTGCAAAAAAAAAGGAAAAGAAAGAAGATTTGAGAGAATAAAGCAGTACAAATAACATGTCGATCTCCTGCGGAGTCGTGACGCCCTCTGCCAAAATCATCATCGTCTCCCTCTTCATGGCCGCCCAAAGGCGGTTAATGATGAAGCTATACAGGTTAACCATTTAAATAGACGTGTTCTGTCAAGAAAAGGCTTACCCAGTAGACTCCACGCGTGCCGTGCCGGGTAGTAATCCAACTTCGCGATGCTTGTTCTCTAGGAAGGGGAAAATCTCCGGATGAGTAAAAGTGCTCGTCATGAGTTCTACGACACGGACGGGGGGCATGGTATAATGGACATTCAAGACGCGCTCCTTGGCCTGTTCGTCCAGCTTCCCCACCATCAAGCGCGATTTGTATGAAGATGAATTGGAGCCGAGGATGCAATCTTTTGGTGCCTTTTGTGCCAGCTCGGCAAAGGTTGAGATCTTGAGGTCGAGCTTTTCTGGAACGGCCTCGACGACAAACCAGGCATTTTTGACGGCCGAATCCAGGTCCTCATATGCGGCATAATCCCCCGGTCGGGGATTGGTATTCTTAAACTCTTTGGCAAAAGCCGCAATGTTATTGTCGATGAAATGAATCGCCGCATTACGCTGATCCGCACTTGGGTCTCGGATCGCAACATTGTATCCTCCTGCCGCCCAAACGCAGGCAATTCGACGGCCTAGAGCAAGAGATGAGTATATGGTTGTCAGAACTCATTCGTTCATTCATCAAGAAAATTCCCTACCGAGCACGCCAGCTCCCAGAACTGCAACAGTGCGTTTTGAATCAATAACAGGTGGTTGCCAAGTCATTACGGAATGTTCTTTTGGGGTTTCTTCAGGAAATTTGAATTGAGGTGTTTCTTAACAATACAATCAATAGTTCCTTGAGTGGCTTTATATAATAGAAATAATACGGATGACGAGAACGGTGATCTTACAACCTATAATTGGCCGCAATCGGGAAATCCGGATAGAGGTCAACAGACTACGTCATCAGGTATGTATTAGTTATGAAAGCAGGAGTAGGCATAAAATTAAGAACCCTATTTGATGGATCCGGGCCAAATCGATCGACGATCATCGATCCTCGATCGGACAGATTTCCAGAAGACGTTAGTAAAGGGTTCTCTTCCGGCATCTTTACTCTTCGCCCACAGTACAGTCAATGTTTCTCACTCTATTACTATTGTAAACGAACACCCCATTCAGTTTAGCTTATTTAATTTTACCACTCTAATAATACACTATGCCCTGGTAGCGGATTTTAATTAAAGTCAACGTCATGATGTCATGAATAGAACAAGCCCAGGAGTCCGCATTCAGTGGCAAAGGTTTCTCAAGACAGTCGATTGGTCATAAGAACTTTGGGCTGTAGTATATATTGCGGGGAGGAAAGGCTAGAAAGGGTGCTTAAGCCAGAGACATAAATCGACATCAATTACTTCTCTCTTTAAGTTCTCATACCTAATTGAATTTTCTTTTTTCCAGAAAAAAGTTCCTTGCATTATTACGGACATGTCTCAGAATTCAAAACAAACAGTCGCCATTATTGGCAGTGGCTGGGGCGGTTATAACCTGGCACATGCTCTCGATACCCGTAAATATAACGTGTTAGTAATCTCGCCTGAAGCCACTTCTTCCATTACGCCACTACTAGCCAGTGCAGCATGTGGTCTTTTCTATTCGCAATTGGCTCAGGAGCCTATCCGACGCAAAAATCTTGAAGTCCAATATATCAAGGCCAATGTGCTGGGCATTGAATTTAGTGACAAGACCCTGTTGTGTCAGCCAGCGTTTGATTCCCTCAAGGACAAGCAGTTTAAGATTTCCTACGACAAGGTGGTCATCTCTCCCGGGTGCTCCACTAACACCTTTAATACCCCCGGTGTGGACGAGTACGCCTTCATGGTGAAGAACGTCAACGATGCTGATGCTATCCGTGACAAGATCAATCAAAACCTGGAGATGGCTTCGTTGCCGTGCACCGCGGAAGAGCAGCAACGGCAGCTCCTGCATATTGCCATTGTTGGCGGTGGACCTACAGGTATCGAAATCGCCGCCGAATTGACGGATTTGTTCCAGGGTGATCTGATGAAATTATACCCGAATCTCCAGGGAAAGGCTTCAGTGACGGTCCACGATGTTGCACCACAAATATTAGCACCTTTTGACCGTAAGCTCTCCGAATACGCTAAGGATTCCCTTCAGAAGCACAAAGTCGAGATCAAGACAAACTCACATATTACGAACGTCACGAGCGATATCATTGAGACACGAGAAGACGGCAAGATCGCCTATGGTATTCTGATCTGGGCAACAGGAAATAAGAATCGTCCGATTGTGGACACGATGAACGTGATGAAGACCAACCACGGTCTGAAGCGAATTCTCACCGATGACGGACTTCAGGTCCTAGATATCAACGGCACCGCCATCCCAGATGTATATGCTATTGGCGATGCGGCTGATATCGATGGTGCGAGTCTGCCCACTACAGCTGAGGTCGCCGTCCAGAAAGCTATGTATTTGTCTCGGCAATTGAACGCTAGTTGTCGCACTAAGCCGTTTCAGTACCAGCAGCGTGCGCTCGTCACGTACACTGGGGCAGGAGACGGTGTCATGGCTGGAAAACGTGGCGATGAGTATACCGGGCATGGGGCTTGGTTGAGTTGGCGGTCAGGCAATTTCTTCTGGACGCGGTCCTGGAAGCGGAAATTCATGATTTGTTTGGCGTGGTTCATGGATTGGATTGATGGACGTGAGTTGGCTCGTTTTTAATGATTTCCGTACTGGTCATATAGCCACTGTAAAAGATGAAGTATTTTTCAGTTTTTTCCTTATGTTACCTTATTAACATAAGGGAAAAAAAACTAACAGCTGGTCGAAGGGACAATGTCCCATTTCAACTAGCTGGGCCCTTTGATCATTTAAAATACTATATATGATATGAGGTGTATGCTATATCCGGCACATCTGGGATAGGCAGAGTGGATACTGGTCATAAAGGTCTGGTGGACAGGTCTGATCAGTCTTTACATAGACAAATATAATCTGCAGCCTTGCGCACATGATGCAAGTAATTCAAATCATGAAGCGCACGTTACATAGCATTTATGAAAAAAGAGTAAAGGCTCAAGGTAAGTTAGGCTGGATCTCAAGCTTCTCATACAATTGGAACCGTTTTTAGGCAAGAAATTAGTGTAGATTACCGATGTTGTGATCCATTTAACCAACCATGCTGGGTTATATAGGCTTAAAAGTCCTTTAATTTACGAATGCCTATTTACAGAACATCTCAATGCCCGACCAGAAAAAACAAGATATGTCAAAAATGACGTCATCATTTCACTTACAATTGCCATGTTCTTGCTAGCCCTCTTTAAATCTTGTTCTGGTTCTGCCAGTTCCTTCCTCTGATGAGCATGCTAAGATCGCCAAGCGGAAGAGCTATTGGGAAATCGACCGTCTCAAGTGTAATCGAAGTTAGAAGATACCATCCAGCTATTGAAGATACAAAGACACATGCTCCAGCAGCCTATATTTCTATTAGCACGCCTGGACTTGGTGGGATAGCTTATTACGTACTACTTCGCAGCGATGAGCCACGCGAGCATTTCCTGTGAAATCCTCGGCAACCGCCCAGAAAGCACCAGTCAAGAGAAGGAATGCAAGCGTTACGCCGGAGAACAAGATCATGAATACGAAATTTGTCCTCGCGGCGCAAATAGCAAATAGCAAGCTGATGAGGCCTATAAAGAGTAGCCAGAAGCCTTTCCACCATCAAACATCTCTCGACCTCGAACCAATTCGAATAATCTAGAACCATATAATTTTTTAGAGCCCATTTGGATCTAGTTTAATTTAATTTTTTAATTTAATTTTATCTAAATATCTACATACCAGTAGATTTCCTTTAATAATATCAATAAATTTCAAGTTAATCCTAATCTATTATAGTTTAATATCTATATAATTAACGTATTCACGGGTCAAGCGCGCACCAGGTCAACTGCGCACCCCACCAAATTCCTTCAATTTTTCAATCCACCGCTCACTTCAAAACATCGTTATCATCCAAAAATGGTCTAAAATCATAGAAAAAATTTTCAAATTATAATAGGCGACTTCTACTTATTATTAATATATTAAAAAATAAAATTTTATAAATTTTTGTAAAGCAGCATACCTTTATAATATGTCTGAGTTAATACTTTATAAGCAAGTTAATAAAAATATTAAAAGATTATTTATTACTTAAAATCAATAAAAATTATCATTTATTAAAGAAGAATCACTTTATATATAGATTCAACTAGGCTGTCATTTGGTTCAGTTCTGGTTCTGAGTTTCTGAACCAAACCCAAAAATGGATTGGTTCGGTTTGATCCCTAATATTGGAATCAGAACTAAAAATTGAATAATTCTAGCTTTATAAATCGAAACTAAATCATATTAAAGAAGAATTACTAATTATAATTAGATTGATATAAGTTTGATCCAATTTTTATTTAAATAATTAAACTATATCAAAGAATTTTTAATTATAGTTAGATTTTATCTATAAAAATATATTAAAATCTTTCTAAATTTTAGTAAATTAGATAGATAAATAATATAAAAATTAGAATTAATTATTTAAATTATAATTTTCTATTTAATTATTGAAATATACTGAAAAAATAGATAGATAATGATAAATACTAAGAAATAGATATAGAAATATATATATATATTTTCTCTGATAAATAGATTACTAAAAAATATAAATAAAAAATAGAAAAGATATTATCACTATCTAAATAATTCTTAAATTATAATTTAAATATTAAGAATTTATTATAATCTTTATAAAAATATTTAAAATAAAGTTCTAATTCAAAAAATAAGAATTTAATTCATGAAAAGCTGTTTCAGAAATGATTATATAATTAATAATAATTATAAAGAATTAAGATTAACTCTAAATATATTAGTATTATTAATAGAAATCTATTAGTATTCAGATATTTAGATAAAACTGAATCAAAAATCCAAATCAAATCAGACCCAAATAGGCTCCAAAAAATCATATGGTCCTGGACTTGATAAATTAAACCGCTTCAGTTCGCTGTATATAGGATCAGAACCAGACCATTCAGGTTTCAGATCGGTTTTGGTTCGGTCCGAACCGAACCAAATGACAGCCTAGTATAGAAGATAGATACTAAGTGAAGACTACTTAAAGAATAACAGTGATCATAATTATTATAAAGTATAATTAGATATTATAAAAACAAAGCTGAAAATAGCTATACTTTCAGTATACCATAACTATTAATATAAGAATAATTAGTATTATGAATTAATACCTTATTCTAGTATATATTAAATACATAACTTAATAAAGTAAAGCTTTAATATATAAAACTATAACTTCTATATAACAAAATAATAATTCTAGATATTAAAGTATTATTTCAATATCCTTTAATATATATAAACACTTATTTACTATTATATATTTAGTTAATTATCTTTTATCTTTATATTAAATAATATATTACTATTTAATATTTAATAAACTTCTTACTATTACTATTATTTTTAATAGATAACTCTCTAATATTGATCTTGCAAGTACTCTTTTATCTTGTATTAATAGAATATCCTCTAAGATCTCTGATCTTGAGACGAGTTGTTGACAACATTTGACACTAATCTATTAAATATTATTATTCCTAGCAGATCACTGAGTTAATCTAATTATTGATAGCACTTCAAGAAGATAATTTAGTTAATTAATTAATTAATTAAGCTAAGATTTTTTTAGCTTTATAAGTATATATTATCTAAATATATAAATTATAGATAAATAAGATATAAATATATATTATATAGGAATAGTTCTATATATAGAAATATGAGTGATTTTTATTATTAAGTACAAATCCAAATTACTTCAATATATGCCTGGATACGCGGATGCACAGTTGACCCGTGTGTATTATTGCTTAGATAATTATTTCCAAAGCTATTTCAATAAAGCAGCTTTTCATAAATTAAATTCTTATTTTTTGAATTACAACTTCATTTTAGATATTTTTATAAATATTATAATAAATTCTTAATATTTAAATTATAATTTAAAAATTATTTATCTATCTATTTTATTAAAATTTAGAGAAATTTTAATATATTTTTAAAGATAAAATCTAATTATAATTAAAAAATTCTTTCATAAAATTTAATTATCTAAATAAAAACTGGATTAAACTTATACTAATTTAATTATAATTAGTAGTTCTTTATTAGCATAATTCATTTTTAATTTAGAGAGTTAGAACTATTCAGTTTTTAGTTTTAATTTAAGGATTAGATCGAATTGGTCTACTTTTGGGTTTGGTCCAGAAACTCAGGACCAGAACTGAACCAAATGACAGCCTACTTATAACTATTATATTACTTCCCTCTTTACTAGGCATTTACTCTTACATACTAGATTTAGCACCTTCATAAAGCCAATCCTCTAGTTATTCAAGCAGTTTATCCTTTGATAGATACTTATCATAGAATTCATAGAGCTATTATAATATATTCTTAAAATTCTCAGCTAGATACTATTAATAGAGATATCCTCTTTATTTTTATAATCTTCTAATATGGAACTGCCCAGGCAACTAGACACGTATAAGAAGCGTTGTAGCAAGCTATATAATATAGTTCCTTTCCTTCTTCTCTCCATGCTTAGTTTTTTGTCGATTAGCTACCCTTAGATAGGAATGAGCACCTTCACAGGACCTACTATTTACCCATGATTCTATGATCTTGCAATCTTAACCCTATTCTAGCTTTACAAGGCGTGTTCCTTCTTGCTGAATCCTGCACTGAGCAGCGCTAAGCCTAGCCAGTAAGCTCTCAACCGTCACATTTAGTGCATCTTATCTATAGTCTCAATTAACCGAACCTTGAGGTTAATTAACCGAAGGTGACCGTAGCGCTTAGTGGCGCCCACTAGCACTTCCTTGCTCCAAAAATATAGCTACGTCCTTAGGTCCTCCTGCAACGTCAGATAGGAAGGCAGGACTATGGCCAAGATTAGAATCAGGGGCAAGAGGCAGCGCTGCTGGCGATGCGATCAGGCTATACAAGGGATACCAATAGCGGCTTAGACCTGAGAGGCGGATACAATAGGATAGGATACGAGCAAGGCAAGGGCCTCCAGAAGTCCAAGGCCCCAGATAAAGAGGAAGCGGAGAAGACGCAAGGCGATGCTGGTGGCCCTTCCCCCGCTTTACCCCGGCATATTACAGTGTAGCCGCGCCGTGCGAAGGCAGGACTGTGCACCACTATCTCCGGCTAATAGGAGGTAGCCCAAGGGGTCGGACCCCTGCACACTGGGGAACTAACTGGGTGAGGAAAACCGACAGGAAATCGCCCCGCAACTGACATTGCGGGGGAAACATGGCGTGTAGGATCGGTGCATCTACTCCCGACTAGTGTCAGATTACTCCGCTGAACAAACGAGCCATCCACCATAATTAAAACCACACCATTACACGCGGGCCCTAGAGCAACTCGGGAGAAGATGCACCGACGTCCGCTACGGCTAATAAAAAGGGTTGATCGAAGCCACGGCGACGCGAATGCAACGCTGCTACCTTGGCGCCCGGAAAAATGGCCCTAATGAGTGGAGATGTTGGGTTGTGGAGGTCACAGTCCGGAGCAAGCTTCACTCAATTGAGCTTAGATCAGGATTACCATCACGAGCCTGTTGTCGCAGGGATAAGGAGCTGAAAGCCCAGTCATGCCTTCTTCTTTTTTGCTCTCACATTTCTCTCAAAGATCGTGAACATGAATAACGTCGTCACAGAGAAGCCGACCTCCGCGTTGGAGCTCGAGGAGCAGCCCACCTCCAATGGCGGACCTGTCTACGATGTCGGCGAGAAGGTCAACTTTGACAGAGCGGGCGCCATCAATGCTGAGGATATCGAACATAAGATGACTGTGCTCCAGGCTGTCAAGGCCTATCCCGCTGCCAGTTGGTGGGCATTCGTCATGTCATGCACCATTGTAAGCTCTTGCCCTCGATAGGCAGATCATTACTCTAACGCTGCGATAGATCATGGAGTCATACTGCGTTTTCTTGATGGGACAGTTCATAGCCACACATGAATTCGCCAAGGATTTTGGTGTATGGAGCAACATAAAAAACGATTATATTATCGAAGCTTCATGGCAGTCAGCATTCCAGTGTAGCGGACCAGTCGGTGCCTTCATCGGTGTATTCATCGCAGGTCCCATTACCAGTTGGATTGGATATCGATGGGCAACCATTGGCGGTCTCATGTTCCTGAACGGCTTCATCTTCATTTTTTATTTCGGCAACAGCCAGGGGATGTTTTTCGCGGCTCAGATCCTGGAAGGCATCCCGTGGGGCATTTTTATCGCCAATGCACCCGCCTACTGTGCCGAAATTGTGCCAATGAGATTAAGAGCTCCAGCGACGCAGATGTTACAGATGTTCTGGGGTATTGGGTCCATCATTGTCGGCGGTATCACTTACCACTACCAATCCAAGCCTAACTCCACAGCGTACAGGTTCGTCCGCTCCCATAGATGCCACCGAGGAGCACTGTACTAACAGTCATACCAGAATTCCCATTGCACTCCAGTGGATGTTTCCTACTCCTCTCGCTATCCTACTCTTCTTTGCGCCTGAATCACCCTGGTGGCTCGTACGAAAGGGCCGTCTGGCTGCGGCAGAGAAGGCTGTCAAACGCCTTGGACGCGCGAGTGCAAATGATAATCCCGCTGACGCAGTCGCAATGATGCGTCGCACGATCGAGCTTGAGGAGACCCAGAAGAAGCCCAGTCTTGTTGAACTGTGGAAAGGTACCGATCGCTACCGCACATTGATTGTGTGCGGTGTGTACGCATCTCAGAATCTGACGGGCAATCTGATCGCTAACCAAGCGGTTTACTTCTTCAAACGTGAGTCCAACCATTTCTTGCAATTTATAGCAGACTAACACCAGCTCAGAGGCCGGTATGGCAGACAACACCGCATTTGCACTTGGTCTCATCACTTCTGGCCTCCAGTGCATCATGGTCATGCTCTCTTGGATCCTCACCACATACCTCGGCCGACGCACCATCTATGTCTATGGTCAATTCATCAACTGTGCATTCTTGATCGCGCTCGGTATTGCGGGTTCGGTTGGCCTTAGTAATGCGGCTAGCAATGCGCAAGCATCACTTGGCTTGATCGTCTCCGTCCTGTTCTGCTTGGGACCCGCCCCTGCCTCATGGGTTATCATTGGCGAGACATCCTCCGTTCGTCTCAGGCCACTGACAACCGGTATTGGACGAGGTGCCTACTACGTGGTCAATATTCCTTGCATCTTCCTTTCCAGCTACATGCTCAACGATGATAAGTGGAAGCTTGGCGGCAAGAGCGGCTATGTCTGGGCTGGCACCGCCTTTATCTGCACCTTAATGGCTTGGATCTGGATTCCAGAGATGAAGAACAGGTCCTTCCGTGAGATCGACATTCTATTCCGGCGAGGTGTTCCGGCTCGCAAATGGAAGAAAACGGTCATCGATATCAACGACGACGAGTAGATGGAAATTGCTGTTCGGAGAAGCCTGAGTGGCACTGCTTGTGCAGGAATGGTTGGTAGGGATGAGTTTCTTACTGGATATTTTTAATACAAAATAGCTAATCAATGATATACTCCTCCCTATCCCTAATACTTAACTAAGTATATATTATTATTATGATTATTATGATTCCATATTATAGAGCATTTTTCAGTCAGAGACTATGCCTACTCTGCCTAACCTCTTTAGTATTGGGGCTTTGTGTTATTTAACAGTAAATTACAATCAAGTAAAACATTTAGAATATCGTTATTCCGGAGATTTACCAGATATAGATTAGAATGAAACATATTAAATAAAATGGACTGAGTAAAAGCGTACATTGGTTTTATAGTCAACTGTATCAATGAATTCAAAGGTATCTAGTATGGTGTCTATATGTTTTAAAAAAAATATATCCTCTTCCATGCTCTCTACCTCAGCTGTCTTTATCTATAGGTATGCTTGGTGCTCAGCTAGATTGAGTCCTATCTTTGTCCACATCGTTTCGTGGTTCTGGTTCTTATGGGCATCAACAATGAATATAAACTTTCGTACCCACTGGTTTCCCTTAATCTATTGCTTCTGAGTGACATCGATAAGATTAGATACTGTACATGTAGTTGGGTCACTTCGCGGCATTCACACACAGCAGCATATATAATTAACTCGTCAATATACCCTAACTTACCATCAAGCTCAATATCTCCACCTAAATATTGCTGGGTATTGGGATGGCTTACTGTTACTACTGTAACTATGCTACGCATCATCCAAACAATCGTTCTATGTCTCAGAAGTAATAAAATCCGTTTTAAGCGAATCAATTAGAGATTGACGCCCCACATACCGGTACGTACCCACACGGTTAAGCATAATTAGTATTTTAGATTGTTCTAAGGTGCTGTCAGAATTGATAAAGAAATGTTAGCACCACAGTATGTATAAAGTTAAATCGCATTTTGTAATGGATCCTCCGTTTTCATGCTTCGTTAGGAACTTTGTTACTACATTCTCCTGCTGCAAACGCACTCTAAAGCATTTCCGTTCATTGTAGAGAATGTTCCTTAATCTAACACTTGCAATATAAGTATGTGGCTTCACCCTTAAAATGGTCTCCGTGTTTTTCTACGCAATATAATCGTTCTCACTTCTGCATTTCAATATAACTAAAGCCCACAAAGAGATGTCTCTCCAGTCACCCACATACCAGCCACGGGGAGCAGGTATCCCTGATCATAGTGAAACTTCAGGTGCGTCACATTGTCCTTCGGGCAATAACCTCTATGGAGCGTCATGGATGTCGCCACATCAGTCGCTTACGTACATAAAGACGTCCGGCAGTGCAACTGCTATGTAAGAGCTTCCTCTATCCGCATGCCGCAAAAATTGAAATTTATCCCTTTCCAGTGGAGTAATCGGATTTATCTTGTCACTTTCCCCTCTTTCTTGCTCTTTGATGGGTTGGCGAGGATCGGGAGCTCTTGGGGCTGCCACAATGTATGTTCTTTTGGATCCTATGGGAAACGAATAGCGCTGACATAGTGACAAAAGAGGGGTTTACTTCTTCATGGGAGGGCTGCTCATGATCCTAGCGGCCGTACTCGAGTGGGTTATGGGTAACGCGTTCAATTATGTAGTGTTTGCTACATATGGCGGATTTTGGCTGTCCTTTGCCGGCACGTTAGTCCCTTCCTTTGCAGCATATGCATATTATGCTCCCCAAGACGAGAACAATCCGGCGGCAGGGCTGCAAACTGGTGGATTTCAAGCCTCATTCGGTGAGTAGTTGACTCGAATTGAACCACTTCAGTTCATTGTATTAGGACCAGAACCGCACCATTCGGGTTTCAGATCGGGTTTGGTTCGGTTCTGGTTCTGAGTTTCTGGACTAAACCTAAAAGTGGGTTGGTTTGGTTTGATCTTTAATATTGAAATCAGAACCAAAAACTAAACAATTCTGACTTTTTAAACTAAAACTGAATCATGTTAATAGAGAATTACTAATTATAGTTAGATCAATCTGAGTCTAATCCGATTTTCATTCAGATAACTGAATTATATAAAAGAATTTTTAACTATAGTTAGATTTTCTTTTTAAAAATGTATTAAAATCTCTCTAAATTTTAATGAAATAGATAGATAGATAATATGAAAATTAGAATTAATTATTTAAATTATAATTTTTTATTTGATTATTAAAATATATATAAAAATAGAAAAGATATTATTATTATTTAGATAATTTTTAGATTATAACTTAAATATTGAGAATTTATTATAATATTTATAAAATTATTAAAAACAAAGTCTTAATTAAAAAAAATATAAATTTAATTTATAAAAAGCTGCTTTAGAAATGATTATCTAATCAATGAAAACTATAAAGAGTTAGAAGTAATCTTAAATTTATTAATATTATTAATGGAAATCTATTAGTATTTAGATATTCAGATAAAACTGAATTAAAAAATCAAACTGAACTAGATTTAAATAGGCTCTAAAAAACTATATAATTCTGGACTTAATAAACTGAATCACTTCGGTTCACTGCATATAGGACTAGAACTGGACCATTCGGGTTTCAGTTCAGGTTTGGTTCAGTCCGAACCGAACCAAATGACAGCCTAAATCTAATTATAATTAAAAAAATTTTTATATAATTTATTTTTAATTTAAAGAGTTAAAGTTATTTAATTTTCAGTTTTAATTTTAATATTAAAGATCAAACCAAACTAACCCGCTTTTGGGTTTGGTTCAGAAACTCAGGACCAGAACCGAACCAAATGACAGCCTAATCAGCATTACTGAGATGACTTATTTTCATACGCTTTTCTAATAAGGGTTTGACTGTGTTGGTCTCAGTATTATCTTCTTTATTTTCTCTTATTCTTTAGAGCTTTGGAGGTAGATGTCTTCTGATCTATATTAGATCTAGATAATGCTGCTTTATCTTTGAAGTGTTCGCCTTTCATATTGTTAAAGATCAGTGAATTTTTAAGAAGAAGTAATCAGGATTATAGGTAAAATGAATACTCTTAATTCTACTATGGTTCACAAAATCATTGCTTCAACTTTGTAAATAGAAGCCATGATATATTCCATGATCAATTGTGATATCTCTTATAGATTAGCGATAAGATGTCATAATTCTGTCTAGTGAGCTGTTTGTTATGGTAGTAGATCTCTTAACAAAGCATTTTATTGGTGTTTCAAAAAGAGCATTCAATAAACTTACGAATTAAAATTAGGGGTAGGTGGACTGTTTATATACCCACAGATGTACAGACCTACATCCCAATATCATCAGCCACACGCACAGCCACCAGGATCTTCAACAGCAAATACGCTCGGTGCACATGCACCAAGTCGAAGAGCCTGGATTGAGGCTCTTGACGGTTTCCTGCTCCAGTGTGGTTGGAGTCGTAGGTTTTGGCGCGGTACGGATCGTAGAACCCAGGTGGGGGTAGGATGTGTGTGTTAGACGAAAAGTATACAATCTGCGTACCTACAGTAACATCTTGTTCAAAGGGAGAAATCAGCAGATGGCAAGTCACTCGTAAACCCGCAAACCGGTACGAAATCTTCCGCATATACCTCTTTCCCTAAACCGCTCGACAACAGCCGCCGCGGTGGCTTCGATGTGCATATATACTATATGCAAAACAATGCTGGACAAACCAACTTTGCCAGAGAGCTCCATGAACGGATTCATCGGGAGTGTATGTACATTTCTCCATATTGATCAACTTATCTATACGAACCATAATGATGTTTTAATGCTAATATTAATGAAAAAGTTCCTGAACTACGCATATATCCGCTCTGGGACAAGTGTCATGATCAAAGGGCTTTCACCATAGTGAAACCCTTCAGGATATAGATAGATGCTCTTTGTATACCTTTAACTATATATATGAGCCCTAGATCTTTCTTATATACAATAGAACAATTTTTCATATATACTCAGAATACATATATACCTTAGATTATAACATTAATAATATATCCAATATTTAGTCTTAAAAGATATTGATATTTTATAGTAGTTTAACTACTATATAATTAATTAATTATTAAATCTTTTAGATTAAAAGATCTTTATTTATTTTATTATTTTTAGTTTTTTTCTATCTTTTTTCCTTTCTTTTTTTCTTTTTTCTTTTTTAATACTTTTTTAAGGCTTTATTAAGTTTTAATAACTTTATTAAAATATTTTTTTATCTCTATAAATATAATAATTAATTTTATTTATAGATTACTATTAATTTAAAAGCTCTATATTTATTAATTAATTTTAATCTTTAATCACTTATTATATATATTAATAAGGATATTAACTTTTAAAAAAAGAGTAGTAATATTATAATTGACAAGCTTTTATTATAGTAAAACCCTTCAAGTTATAGATAGATATTCTTTATATATTTTTAGCTATATATATGAGCCTTAGATCCCTTTTATTTACGATAGAACAATCTTCCACACACACTCAGAATGCACACATGCCTTAGATTATAACAATAAGCCTGTTAGCCCCCATCCAGTCGTCATGTTTGAAGTAAATATACTTAGTCCTACTGAGCTTGGTGCTTTTGTTCCGTGGTTGGTGATCAATAGGGGCCTATTGAGTGTGTTAATTCATCCAAAAATAGTAAATAAAGGTGAATAATTGAGAAATCATTCGCAAAGAGCGATATGAATTGGGGAAAGGTTTTCGTTGAATTCGGAGCTGTTAAAGGGGTTATAATCGGTATCCTTTTTTTTTTCCTTTTCAGAAAATATGGTTCGATATTTGACGAGGATGGTACTTCTTGATGACTGATTGGTGGTCAAATTGTGGTCATAAGCAGATTTAAGATTTATTTGAGCTACCGTAAGTTCAAACATAAAAGTATAGTGATTTTAGCAAAATTGACAATGTTTTTCTAATATTGCCGCAACCTGCGGCGCACAATCGAAGTGCCATTTCCATTGGGCTTGAACTCGGCAATCCAGGTCTTCATCTGCTTAATCGCTTCATTGACTACTTGCTGGATGCCAGCATTACTTCGGGCGTTTTCGAGCAACAAATCATAGCAATGGCTAGCATTCTCCATGACAAAGATGGGGTTGGGGTCGGAAGAGGATAAAGGACCCCCAGGACGGAAGTCAGACGACACAGTTTCTTCACGCCAGGGGTCGTATTGTCTAGAGAAAAACGTTAATGCCAAATTCCTTCATGAAGAGAGAAAAGAAAATACCCTTGAGTCCAAATAACTCGTTCAGTTGTTCCAAACCAGCCCTTAGACCAGGCGTTCACAGCATCAGAACGCTTGCCTTTAGCACTAGCATAGGTATACCCATCATCTGGTTGGAAGTATGTCCCACAGGTACGGACGGAGTAGTCGGAAGTCACAAGGCGTGATACTATGGACTTGGTCCCTTTGGGAGCACCACTATTATTGAATTTTAGCATAATTCGTCTATTCAAACTTTCTGAGAAAGAAAATCTTACTTGTGCCAAGCCCCAAAAGGCTCATTGCAACATAGCCACTCCCACTGTTTATTGGCCCTGTTACCAATAGTTTTGTCGGCATACCAGGGGTTCGATGAGTTGTACGAGTTGTAGCACTCTGTTGTGTAATTGGAGCTCCAGTATCCTCTGGATGCGCAGGCTATGGATGGTCAGTTTTCATGGTAAGATTTATTAAGGCTATACTGACATCCAGGGAAAATGAAGTTCCACCATTGTGCATAGCCTGCGAGAGCTTTTTGCACACCGACACCATGGGCACTGGCATTCGCTGGGGGACTCGCGTATACGTTCTGAGATACAGTCAGTCTAGGTGAATTCAAGGATTGACATTTCATATTCCATACTTCAATGTAGTCACAGAAGCTGTACAATGCGGCCGATTCGTCCCATGTTGTGCTCTGTCCATAGGAAGGTCCGCCGCTGGCAATAGCCCTAGTGAAATGTTAATTTTCCACAGCACAGTTCTTCTCTTTCATTAGCATACTGAGCAAAATCATCGTCATGTAGATCGCCCAGTTGGAATTTGTTCTTCAAGCTTAGTTTAGCGGCTTCATCGGATCCTAAAAGCACGCTATCGATGTAATCAATGACATTGACTAAATCGGTACTGCAGTTCTTGGGCAGACGCTCCTGGATAGGAACAAAGTATTGCCACTGAAAATATCAGCAAGATTTTTTTTCCATGGTAGATTAAGGGCAATATACGTAATCCCAGATCGCCTCAACTGGCGCGCTCGAGGCGTGGTAGGCCCAAAAGGTACCTGGCAAGGTTGCTGCAGTCCAGCCAGCTTGAGCGCCACTGTATGAACCGCCGACAAGAATCCAAGGCTGGAATACATTATTAATTTATAGACCTAATTGATGATGGAATTGTCATACAGCATTCTCTGGTGAGCTTCCAGTTGTCTTGTCGAAAGGTAATTTAACATTTTTCGCAAAATTCACGGTATCAGCGAGCGCATTCTTAAAAGTGAGGTGTTGCATTGTCTTCGGGGTTAACTCCTGAACAGGAGAAGATTCCCCATAGTAACGGTCTGCATGTTTAAGACGTTAGTATGAAGTTCCATCAGAAAGGGGAGGGTTACCCACGCTCAAGCATAAGAACAGCACCTCCCATTTCCTGTGCGTAAAGACCGCTTAAGGTTTCATTGGTCAAGTATCCCGTATTCTTAGAAGCGTCACTTTCTCCAATCTGAAAGACGATGATCTACACCCAGCCTGAATTAGCCCGTGCCAAGTATCATGGGAATTGGTTTTGTTTTTGAGCTTACCGGCGACCCAGGACCCTTCCAGTACTGGTCATTCCACCACCAGCGCTGGGAGAACGTTCCCAACTCGGGATGATCATGGTCAAGCAACTGCGTAAAAAAACTTGATCCCAGGTTGACATCATCAGACAACGCTTCTCGAGCCAAGGGAATCTTCGGCAGAGCAGTTGCGACTGAGGTCCATGAGGCGCAAATAGTTGCAAGAGACAGAATGGAGAGCATTTTTGAACGGGCGAAGCAATTGTCCACCAACAAATGAGAGAAAATAGCAGACGATCAATGACCACCTAGCGACAAGGAGGCTGATTCTTAGCTACTTTATAAATGATCGAGTACAACATCACTAGGGTATCGCCGGCGAGATACACCATAACCGCAGCTAGTAGCCATCTGAAACTCGTGCCCCTGGTTGTTTCATCAATACTTGCTCCACATATCGCAGGAAGCTTAAAGGCTAGCACAAAGATAAGAGCACATGGTGGCGCGGCTTAGCCAATTTGCATAAAGGTACTCTAATTAAACTGTCCAAACAAGCGGTCCAGAACAGGCCTCATCTGTATCTCCGCTGATCAGCAAGGATACAGATGTCACTTGGCGTAATATCGCGGGGTCGTAGTGGATAGGACCAATCACGGGTATTCCTGATAAACGACCAGCTAAAAGAAGATCGCTTATCCAAGCTCATGATGGAAAGATGCCTTAGTTCTCTGTGTTTACGCATCTAAATTCATCTTGCTACAGTATATAATAGTAGTTCTCAGAGAAAAGACTGTCAACCAAACATATTATTAATTTAATATTGTCGCGTGTTTTAGGCACCAGCGAAAATCAATGATATCAACCCGCTATCCCAACAAGGAAGATCCATGGGGCTTCACGAAAAGTGCCGATCAAAATCATCAATGCTCGCAACGTGTAATTGAAAGCCCCCGTTTTTATCTATTTTTGAAAGGTAAAGTCCAGCGCGGCCTGTTTGAAGTAATTGCTATTTCTAAAGCGGGAGAGAGCAGAGCATTGTTTGCATTTAATAATCAACCAAAGTGGTGGTAAATTATTTATTTAATTGTTATTATTATTGCCATGAGGCTCTTTGCTCAAATGCATCTTCTCTCACAGTTAGAAACGAGAGAGCAAGAAATAACATAGGAACCAAAACTGCCCTGCCAAGTCATACTAAATAATGCATCCATGATTGTAATATTTACAATGCCGAGATGCCCTGTCTTAGATTTCAGTAACGAGGTAGTAGTTACAAAGTGTTTCATGACTAAGTGCGTTTCATTTCTTGTATTCATAATACAAGTCCTATAGTACGCCACGTGGGCCTTGCGCCAGTTGGAAGATCCTCCCGGAAAATCATGTACAAATAAAGACATTGTAACAGGGTGTTACGAAACCAATATATGCGAAGCTAGATACAGATTAGGATGTCTTAAGCTACTTTAAGATAAGTAGCTCTTAAAGCAGGTAATACTATAATTAATCAATTACTACGACTAGACACTGTTAATATACTATTTATATAGAATTATATCTTATATAAGTATCTATACTTAGTATATAATAAAGTATAGAGAATAGAATGACTAAATATATAAATAATAGATAATTAATATATATTAAATATATATAGATTATAGAGGAATTATAAAAATATTTATTTATATAAATATATTTAGTTTTATATGTCTATAAGGCTTCTTGACACTGCCAACCTCTAAATGCTAAAAAGTAATACTGAGGTAATTAGGCCATTGCCTAATCCCAGAATTGGCACATTTATAAGTCTCCTACAGAGCTCTTACTACTGTCAGATCTTACATTCTACCCTCCCTAAAAGACTCTTTTTCTTAAAAGATATCCTTTCTGAACATTATTTTATATGCTTTCTAGAGATTACTTCCACAAAGTTGTCATAAGAATCGATAAGTCACAGCCAATGAATGTTATAGCGGACGCTATTATATAAGCACCCAACGAGATTTAAGCAATAATGAATGAAATTGTTATTGAGTACAATTATGTATTATGAGAACGATGTTAAAAATAGCTATGCTTTCAGTCTAGCTACAGCTATTGATATAATAATATGATTATTGTGTATTAATGCTTTATTCTAGCATACATTAAGCATATGATCTAACAAAGTAAGATTTTAATATATAGAAGCATAGCTTCTATATAATAAAATAATAATTTTAGATATTGAAGTATGGCTTCAATATCCTTTAATATATATAGATATTTGTTTATTATTATATATTTAATTGATTATCTTTTATCTTCATCTTAAATAATATATTATTATTTAGTATTTAATAAATTCTCTTACTACTACTATTATTCTTAATAGATAATTATCTAATATTAATTTTATATTATTCTTTTATCTTATATTAACAGAATATTCTCTAAGATTTTTAATCTTAAGATAAGTTATTGACAATTTTTAATAATAAAAGATCTTTATAATATTTAAAGAATTATAAATAAATAATATTATCTTTAATAATAATAGATAATAGTTATTCATTTTCTAATAAAATTAAATAAATTTTAATAACTAAGCTTAGAGATACTTTTATTAAAATTATTAAACTTAAAAATATTATAATTTAATAATATATTAATAGCTTAAAATAAAGATTAAAGATTAATAAAGTAGAACTATTCTTAGAAAAATTTAGAATATTTAATATATTTTTTATTTAAATAAAAATCTACTTTTTTAATAATACTATAAAGATTAATATTAAAGAAATAAAAGTATTAATAATATCTAATTTCTTAATTAAAGATATTATAAAATGATTTATACTATATATTAAAAATTAACTTAAAATAAGTATTAAATAAAAGAATCTAAAAATAATTTTAATATTTATAAATTATAGATATTTTATTATTAAATTTAAATAATTTTATAAAATTATTAATGAAGAGCTTATAATAATCTATAAAATTTAAAATATTCAATAAATTTAATCTATAGAAGAATATATATTAATATATTTTTAAATTATAAATAATCTTTATTATAAAGATTAAATATATTATAATTAATACTATAATAAACTTAAGAAAAATATCAAAGATATGATTTTAATGATAAATTCTTAATCAAAGACCTTTTATGAAATAATAAAAATAATATTATAGATTGATTTTTAATAATATAATTAGCTTATAGAAAAGAAAGATTAATATTGAAGAAATTAATAAGTAAATATTCTATAATTAAGAAAACCTTATTATAATTATAATAGAGATATTAAAATGCAGCTTAATATTGTAATTAATAAAAAAGAGAAAGAATAAAGATATAAAGAAAGGGCTTACTATAAATATAAATAAAAAGAATACTTTATAAAAGAATGTTGATAAAGATAAAAATTTAATAATGTTAGCTATTAGAAAGTAATAGCTATCAATTTATAATTCTTTATTCTATATTAAGAAATTACTAAAATAGATAGTAAAAAAGAAAGAGAGGATTTTAAGAAAATATAAAAAAAGTTAATTAAATAGAGATTTAAATAGAAATATAAATTGATTATAAAGTAATAAAGAAGCTTTAAAAAATCTAATAGATATATTAAAAAGATATTTAAAGAAAGTATAACTTAGAAAGAAGATATTAATCTAGAAGAAGTATATTCTTATTAGAAAAGTAAAACTAGATATTAATCTATCTATAGATAAAAGCTATTAATAGAATAATATAATATAAATTAGAATACTAATAATTTTTTATTAAAAAATAAAATCTAATATAATCTAATATTTTAAAATAATAATTAAAAAATGATAAACTATAAGGATTTAGATTAAGAATTAGATATCTTATAGAAATTAAAATTAGTAAAATCTATTAATTAATTATTTTAAAAATGGCTAATATAGAGATCTATCAATATTAGTAGAAAAGACTAGAAAAAGATTCTAGAAAATAGAATAATAAATCTAGAATTAAATTAAGAAATTTTAGAAATAAAAAAAAAGATTTTAGAAATCTTAAAGAAGTTTCTAGAAATAAAATATAAGATTATAGAAACTTAAGATAAATTTATAAAAGATATAAAAGATAAAGAATTATATTATTATATATCTTTTAAGATAATATATTAAAAAGAATCATTTTAGATATAATAATAATATATTGATATATATAAAAGATATTAAGAATAAATATTTAAGGAATATCTAATTTATAGTAAAGATAACTTTAAATTAACTAAAGAAATAGAATAGTTATTTTATTTAAAAGGAATATATTTATATAGTAGAATATTAGAATATATATATAATTATATTTATTATTATTATTCTAAATTAAGTAGATTTAACTATTTAGAAATATATTAAATGTTATATTTTAATAAAATATATATATATCATTAAATGAATAAAAACTTATATAGATGGTTTTCTATATTATTAAAAGTTTTCTATTAATTAATATTTAAATATTTTAAAGAATATAAAGATTGCTAATATATATATAAAGAGATAAGATATTTAAATCATAATTATTTTAAGAGTATTAAATATAGAACAGACAATTATTATATATATTAAGAAAAGATAAAGATAACTGAAGAAAAATAGATGTAATTTTAAGAAGTATAAAAAAGATATTATTTATAATATATAGAGAAAGTTATTATTATAATAGCTATTAATAATGAATTAGTAGAATATATATCTATTATATAAGTTATAATTTATAGAAAGTTAGTAAGAGTGTTTATTGATTTTAGAATATTAATAAACTTCATTAATGAAGAATTCATTAAGAAATATAAGGTACTAATAAAATAAATATAATGATGGCAGATAACTATTACTGTAAATGAAATTATTTTTAATAAAGGATATCTATGGATAATTAAGAATATAATCTTAAAGTTAGAAAAATATATTATAAACACAATATTTAAAATCTTATCTTTAAATCATAGTTATTATAACACAATTCTTAGAATAATCTAATTATAAAAATAGAATCTAATTATTAACTAAAAAAGATAAATATTAAAGATTAACAATATAATATTACAAATAAATAGAGATATAGAAAAGCAATTTAAGATAAATATTACTGAAATTAATAAAATAGAATAAAGAATAATATTAATTTAATTAAAGCTAAAAAAAATATATAAAAAAGAACTTATAAAAATATTTAAAAAGTTATTAAAGAAGTATTATAATTATATTGA